AGAACTTTCATGTGTTTCTTGTTTATAAATGGTATATAGGTAAAAGGTACGAAAATATTTTTTTTTTAATTTTATTTATTTCTAATTTACTTGAAAATAGTTCTATTTTATGTGGTTTTAAGTACGACTTTGCCACATTTATACTTTTAATATAAAAAATAGATATTTGCAGTAAAAAAATTCATGAAATTACAACTTATTAAGCCCTTCAAATAAGAAAGTTGATATTATTGCTATAAAAAATGTAACCAGATCAGATTATTGTAGACAATATGTAAATAAATGTGATCTGAATACTTTTCTTAATATTGTTATCGTTTGTAGATAGCAGAGGCTTTAATAAGACCTTTTACGCATGTAACCTAAACATAGGCATGTTTAACGCCTAACAGAACTATTAATTTTAACACCGAAATAAAATTAAAAAACAGTTTCGAGAACTTCAAATCCTACACTTTAAATAAATGTGAAATGTTTCACTTTTTCTTTTTTAAATATAATAATAATAATAATAATATAGCCATTTATTTCCGAACTTTGGGGTTATATAATATTTGTGTTTGAGTATACTAGTTAAAGTAAGTCCCTCAGTTCGGTGTGCCTTTTGGCATAGGCCTCCTCCAACTGCTTCCATTGGGTTCTGTCTGCTGCTACCCTTGTCCAGTATGGTCCCAAGGTTAGGCGGATATCGTCTTCCCATCTTCTGATTGGGCGGCCCTGTTTTCTGACGCCATCTCTTGGGTACCATAGGGTTACCTGCTTGCTCCATTTATTGGTCTTGCAACGAATCATGTGACCTGTCCAGCCCCATTTCAGATGGTCGATTCGGGTCAAAATGTCAGCAACCTTGGTTTTATTTCTTATTTCCTTGTTGTTAATTCTATCCTTGAGTTTTATTCCCAACATACTCCTCTCCATTGCTCGTTGACATTTCGCAAGTTTCTCCCGGTGGTTTTGGTTGAGGGACCACGTCTCACAACCATATGTGATGCAGGGGAGAATACAGGTGTTAAAAGTTTTCTTCTTGATAGAGATGCTTAGCTCTTTACTTTTCATTATTTCTCTCAGAGACCAGTATTTTTTCCAACCACTAGCAATCCTTTTGTTAATTTCCTTAGTTGTTTGGTCACTAGGGGCAATTACTTGACCCAAGTACATATACTCTTGCACATATTCAAGTCTTTTTCCATCTAATTCTATGTTGACTTTTGTAGAGTTGGTCATCAGTTTTGTTTTAATTGTTGTTAGTTGTGTTTTTCTTTTTTAAATACTATAAAAAAATATTTGTTTTGCTGTACATTTTGCGAGAACACTAATTTTTACAGGACTGATCCCTCAACGCTTTATTGTTAGTTCGATTTTTAGTCTACTTACAATACTATGTGGAACGATTGTAATGCCAAAAGTTAGCAAGTCGATTTTAATCCTTAATGATTTTTCATTAGGTTGATTTATAATTTGTAAAAAATTGTACTACTACTTTTCAGAAGGATTATGCTGAAATATGTTTTAAGACAGTTATTTCCCTAAAGAATATTAAAATTTGCTTGAGAGAGAAAAATATCATTTTTTTTAATAGGATAGGCTGACAAACGAGCACACAGTCCACTTGATGGTAAGTGGTTGCTGTGGCCCATAGACATCTACATCTATCCTCGATTACGAATCAAAATGAAGATGCATTGTCACCTGTGAGGACTAAGATGGAATGCCTCATTTCCAGTAAAAAGGATTTCCGGTTCTCTACACTCAATATACGAAACACAGCAGCATGAAGCTACAATTTCACGGTAGTATTCTGTGAGAGCGTGGTCCTTCACAGGTCGAGCCGACCCATTCATGCTACAACTATACTACAAATACAGTCAAACCTGGGTAAGTGAGAACTGGATAAGTGAGAAAACTCTATAAGTGAGAGTAATAGCCAGGACCCGTCATTTTAAGCTCCCAAAACCTCCATTAGCGAGAAACAGAAACCTCTGTAAGAGAGAGTCGTTTTTCCCTCATGGTCCTCCGTAAGTGAGACTGCTACTTATCTACACCTCTATAAGTAACAGTCGAGCTTTATTTATTTATATTTAGGAGGGACTATGGCTACAATAAAAATACATACATACATAAAAGATACATACATACAGTAACAAATGACAAAACAAATTACAAATTTAACATCTGCTATTTTATGACTCATTCTAACTTTCATGGAACTTCCTACCATTGTTTTTGTATTGTTTTCTTGTCAATATTGCACCTATTCTATTTCGTGGAACTAAATAACGTTGTTATTTTATCGCATTCTTTTCGAATGGACATGTGTGCCTGTGTTAGTCAATTGCGAAGGAAAGTTCTGTTCTGCATCATGTCAAAACGGAAAATTAAAGTACTGTTATTAAGTGATAAACTTAAAATAGTGAATGCGTTTGAATCAGGAAAATCCGGCAAATTATTTTAACCACAAAAACAGAATGTTCATGTTGCACCGCACAACTGTTCCCGCTACTCGTTTATAACGTCAACAGTGTCGTCTATCCTTGACCACGGCGCCCAATGAACTGATAATCGATGACGCGCTAAGGATGCGCCAGAGCTGAGATATTAGATTTATTATGCGAAGTTGATTTGATGAAATTTTCTTTTATTCATGTAGCTGATGATAGTTTCATGTTTCTTACCTTTCGTTTTATTCAAATATCAATAATAATTAAAAATAACATAATGATTTCTTAAATTTACGCGAACACTACACATTGAATAAAACTAAATTTACGGATTTTATCACGTTTATTTAACTACTTTTACTTATTTTTAATTCCCGACGTTTCGGGTGCTTTACAGCAACCATGGTCACGGGGGGGACTGAGATGTTTGACGTCCCAATGTCATAGTTAGTCGGACTAATTATGACATTGGGGATGCCAAGCGGCTAGTAATTACCATGGACATTTGCAATGTCACCCTTATTCTATGAAAAAAAAATCACTGCAAACAAATAAGGCTACAGATTTATTATCACCTCTGAGAACTATAATAAAATATCTTACCACCTGTAACTATACTGGCTCTCATATTTTTAAACAGGATTACAGCCGTGAGCACAGTGGCAAAAAAGTAACTAACTATTTTTTTTTGTTGTATTACACATTTGTGTTATACACCACCAAATTGATTAGTACTTACTTTAAATAAAATAAAATTCTTAGAATCCAATAGGTATTCCACAAATTTAATCCAGTAAACAATTATGAAATAGGTAGCTCACAAATAAGGTAAAGGAAATGGACTATTTCATTAAAAAATTAAGGGTATCAATCATATAGTTATAATTCAAATGTGTCTACCTTAATTAATTCACTTTAATTTTTAGTTAGAAAAAGAAAAGATAGCCCAATCATCCTAACTGTAAGATAACAATGCCATCATGTGGGTGCACATGTGTACCTTGATTTACATACAATTAGAAATATAAAAACATAATTTTTCTTTTATAAAGTGGTTTTCATGGTTGAAAATTGTAAATCTATAAAACATGAAGGAAAATCAGGCAAAAAAATTTATTTACCAAGTTAGGCTTTACAAAGTTTAGCATTTTTGGTCTTTTTTATTTATCAAATAACTGAATTGCACACAATCTCAAATGTATCATTCTTAACTTATTCCTTTTATACTTTTTGATTCACTCCAATTTACTGGAGCTAACGAAATACTGAAGTAAATAAGTAAATAACTTCAATAGGTGAAATGATTTTTAAAGCCACATTTTCAACATGTAGGTACTTAATTCTTTTACTCATCTTAGTTTATAGCACTAGCATTATATATAATTAATTATTATTTAATTTCTATAAATTATTACTTAGAGATTTGGGTAAACTATAGACGTCCGGTACTCGCGTACGGTGTTGGGAGGGGGAGGGGGGAGTAGAGGGGACCATGGGAAGCCCCCCTACCCTTCCGCCATTGCGGAAATGTATAGTTTATGAATAATATTTTTCTTTTTGTAAATCATAACCTAACTTTTCAGCCATTTTTATACAGGAATATTGACGCAAAGTTACTTCTGCAACGGCTTCGGCACTGCGGGAAGTGCAGCCTCTTCACCCTTGCATAGCAAATCACAGGCACCCATGCTCGCCTCCACAGCTGCGGGCGCGGGCTGCTCTCCCTCCGTGTCTACGGCTTTACAAAAACACTCTAGGGGTAGGGCAGACAAGACTACGTGGAGTTGGGGTGTGCGAATTCGGTTTTAGAACCGATTTTACCAATCTTATCTACAAAGTCTGGTTGCCCTAAACTCTGCTATGATAGTGGTAAATGAAATAATGTAATGTGAATTGTTATAATTTTGTTTTCTGAAAAACCCCTTGACTGCTCTCCACTGCGACTCAATTTGTTGTATATAAGTTCCATCTCCAGTCACAAATGGATTGTCTGGGTCCGAGTGATTAACTTCTTTATGAGTTTATCTGTGTTAAAAAAACAAATTGACATATTTGCGTTTCGTTATTGCAATTTTTAGTGAAATTTATTTTTATCATAATTAATTCAAATGGCATTTCTGAAATCCAAAAACTGTAAATGGTTCAATCTTAACCGTGACAATCCTCATAAATTGAAAACAAAATTAAAAATCAAGTAACAGACATCTACTTCATAATACTAGAACAAATTGACATATTTGCGTTTCGTTATTACACAATTTTAGTGAAATTTGTTTTTATCGTAATTCAAAACGCATTTCCGCCATCTAAAAACAGTGTAATAGGTTCAAGCTTAACCCTAACAAGCCCCCTACACTAAAAACATTATCAAAATCAAGTACCGGAAGTCTATAGCCAACCCAGAGATTTTTTAATCCTGACGGAATTAATGATTCCTATACAGATAAATTTTTACTAAAGTTCATCATCAAAAATATTTAACTTTATATAAGCTCATCATCTACTCTAGAGTTGCAAAATTGTGTAATCAATAAATAAATTAAGTCATTCATAAATAATTACCCTTTAAATGAGTATTTATTTCAGCGATGGTAAGTGGTTTATTAACTTTTTCAGAAGTGCAGGTATTACGAGGCTGTTTCTTCGCTGTGAGTGTTTGTATAGCATCCTCGGACAAAATACCTGTAGTAAATGAAACAATAGATGTTAATTATTAAGCAATGATTTTAAAATTTATTTAATATCTAACAAAATCATTAACAAATCAATGCAGTGTAATAAAATTATTTAAATCTGTGGTAATAAAAGTTAGGCAAGCAGTTAATGCATTTAATACATACTACTTATTTCAGGCAGCAATTCAACCATTGGTTTTGGAGTAAATGATCTCATATTGGTTGCCGTCCCATCCATTGTGTATATTATTGGTTACTTCAGCAAAATAATATGTTTTATTAATACAAACAAAACTACCAATACCAAATCGAAATTCATTTCCAGTTAACTGTCAACAATGTCAAAACAGAGTTGCAAGCCCCTAATAAAGATTTCGCCCAACTTAATTCGAAAAACCCGTAAAATAAGTACAGTTATTTACTATATAGTTTAACTTTCAATTTCCTTTTTATTTATTAATAATTCAATATTTGTAATAAAACTTCAATAATGATTTTATTTCTTACGAATCTTTTCAGGTTAATTTAACTTCCTAAAGTTAGAAAAATATAGATTTAATTAATGTTAAATCGACATTTTTGTCATAAAAAAATTATAATTGAATGAATTTGCAATTTCATGCACTTCTGAAGCATATTCTGAAGAATTTTTGTGAACAAGATACAAATCAGACTAGGCTGTATGGTGCCTTTGCTAATAAGACCTTTGACTGTAAATATTGGCGAATCATGCAAATAAAATAACTTTTTGATACTCAGAACAAGTTTGATGGACTGATGGATTGCTTCTACTGTTATAAGTAGATTTTGATTCGTAAAATTGGAGCAATTTTGTATATAAAACGTCTGCACATGTGAAATTTTATTGAAAATGATAAAACAAGTGTTTTGATGGCATGGATCTTGAGCATTACGAATATTAACGTCTTCAACCGTCCACTGGGTTAAGATTCCAAAAACTTCATAATATAACGCATCAACTTATTGTGACGAATTTTGTAAAAATTATGTAAATCTGATAAGGCTGTATGACGTAAGACCCTTGCCTACCTAACTTGAGGAAATGTAACAACAACAACTGCTCTTTGGTATTAGCTTGACACATGGAGTATGGAGTGTAAAGGTAAGGAGTACAGACTCTGTATAAAAAAGTGCCGTAGAAAAGCGCTAAATAAGTGTAGCGCCACTGTAGCTACAGTCTGTATATTACAGTATATAAATTTTAAAGAACTTTTTATATATTTTATATTGCACAGACTTTCACCAATTTTTATTTTCACAATAACTCTTAAATTATTTTACAGCGATTTATAAGGCGATTTATCATACCCTGTAGCTACTCGAGCGCTGTTGTGGAGAGTTTTTTTAAATGTTATTTACTGCTTACAGATAGATACATTTTCAACTATTCTCCTATGGGAGATTGTCCTCCTTACCTCTATACTCCATAAGGAGAACGATCGCTACTTGCTAAAGCATAGCCCGCCTGTCCCAGAAAATTTGTGGAATTTATAGTCGAGCTGCCACCGATAAGTAGTATCTGCTAAGTAACTTTTTAATTATTGACAAAAAGAAACATGGTGAAATAATATAAAAATAATAATGATAAATCAATAATAATTTATAATTTAAATTTGTAATAATTTATAAATTTTTTCTATAACATATATTTATAATTAAAATTATAAAAAACATAATTTATTTATTAATAAATAATAATAATTTCGTTATGTTCTATTTTAATTTGAATGACATTATAATCATTTCAAACAAGCGCGTATCAGCCCGCTTTAATTGAGACAACTTAGCGATCGCAGTGCCTCACTTATTTTGTCCATATTTCTGAGACACTACTTTCTACAGCGATCGCTCTCTCTAACCAATGGCATTACATAAGCTTTGACACAGCTGGAAGTAGTGGAAGAAGTGGACCGCCACGGAAGTATATAGACAAACTGAAACCCACACTCCTAATAACAACATTAGGAATCAAAAGACTGCAAGTAACCCCTGTTTTCCCTACGGAATAGCAGGTGTGACGAATGATATTACCTCATTGACAGCCGTTATCCCCCGGACGGGTGACCCTATCCAAGACAACTCCTCTCTATACAGATTAGGGAGTCAAGTAAATCCCTCAATGCCGCAGACATGCCAACTCTGACTAACAAATATTTTAATACCGACAACCTCCCGGAGTTACAAATTACCCGATTGCATTTACATCGCCTTATATAAGGCGCCCAGGACTGGCACACTGTATTGTGTCGTGAAGAATGCCGGAGTAGAGGGGTGTACCCCGAGGCCCAAAACCTGCTGGGCAAAAAGCCCACGCAGAAGACGACATGAGCGACAGCCATTATAAATTTAAGTATAAGTTGAATTTTCTCTATGCCAAGAATTATAAGTAAAAAAATATAAAAAAGGCTTGACAAAAACTATTTTCACGCAAGTATTTGATTTTTCTTTCAAATATTTCATAAAGATTTACGATGAACTATTTGCCTAGACTCCTACATATTTCCCCTATTTTAGAATAATTATTAAAAGCCGTTATATGGCCAACCAAAATCATAAGTCCAATAATTTTACTGCAAATGAAGGATGTATATGTTCATTTCGCAAGTTTGTTTTCAATTTTTGGAATAATCCGGAGGCAAAACAAGTAAATTGGTCATTAATTCATAAGTACAAATCACCATGCAATACAAAAGAGACGGAGGGGTATAGAAAAATTTCAAGTTCATTTTCGTGTATTTTTTATGTCATTTGGGAGTTCATTTCATACCCTTTAGCTACTTCAGCGCTATTTTGGAGAGTTTTTGAACTGTTATTTACTGCTTACAGATCGTAGACAGAAAAACCTATAGACAAATTGACGCCTTCTTTCACATTCGCACACGATGAAGATAGATTTATGCATACGTCTTACATAGAAATGAGACAGAGCGTTGTGATTGTTTGTCCCTTTCTCCGTGCCGGTTTTTTTTTTTGTTTAGCAAACTACACTTTTGCAAAGTGTAATTCGCTACGAACTGTCAAACAACTTTGACAGTTCGTAGCGATCTAAGAAGTTTACAAGTTGGTTTAAGTGAGAAAAAGTGTTTTGTGAGCTTAAAATTGGTGAATCTTGTTCAGTTCAGTTCTTAGAACAATTAATTTTTTTTATCTAAATGTGTTTAAACGTCATAAAGAATATTGTATAACCAAAAACTACGTTATCGTCCTTTCTCACTCGAAGCCACACTAATCATTAGTCTATTGGTTTCTCTGTCTACGTTACAGATGGATACTTTTTCAACAATTCTGCTGTGGCAGTTGGTTCTCCTTACCTCTACACTCCATATTGGTAGCACTGTTTTCTCAGTCGCCATATTTATTTTAGTTTGAACGTTTGCTACTGATGCTTTTTGATCATTTAATCTTGGTTTTAAAAATGCCGAGTGGTTGGAAGTGGTTACAAGTGCTAAAAGGCAAACTCTTCTTGAAGTTTACGAATTTTGTTAAAAAGAAAAGGCTGAAAACAAGCTGATTGTTCTATTGCAACAAGTTCGTGCCCAAGTAACCGCAATAACCGATTCAAAAGAAAAAGTAACCATTTCAGAAAACGATGACTTACTAAAAATAACCGCTATTATACTCTAAAAAATTACAAATTATCTAAGGTTTTATTTCTTGCGTACTGACATACAGTATTTATAGTATCAAGCTATTATTCCCACGGGGTTGAGCGGAGCTTTGGTATATATAACGTTAGTACTATTTTTAGTTTGTGATCGTACGTAGGGAACGTACGATGTACCACGATTATTATCGTAAGCAGATAGTACGACAATTTCTATCATGATGCAAAATTTGATAATTTATTTTATGTTAATTATAAGCTGATAGTATAAGGGCGGATTCGACCAAATACCATATTACTTCAGAGCACAATGTTCCAGAGTAACAAACCCTCTAATAATTTTACTCTTTGTTCTTACTCTCAGGTAACTTCGTTAGTAGTAGTAGAGTTGCTAATACTGGGTATAGTTACTCTGAATGAATAATAAATGAACATGTAAGCCAACTAAAATCGAAATACAATTGCCTATATAGCGCAATCAAATATTTTCTGTCCACTTATAGTTTGCCGGATTATAATAGTGTCAAGTTGGAGAAACATACTACTCGGTTAAGTTTGTACTATGAGTAAACATGTTTTATGATGATTTGAAAGCGGTCCATTAAAAGCACAGAACACTATTCTCCTCGCGGAGATTTAAAGCTTTTTCTTGTAAAAAAAGTTTTAAAAGAGATAAAGGGTTGGATTTAGAATCGGTTGGCAGGAATTTGGGGGAGTAAGGTGTTTTATTTGGTAGAGGTTTGGTCCTCGATTATAATAATACCACTCACATTAAAAGGTAATGCACTGTTATAGAAAAAAATATATAAAAACTATTATAACCTAAAATGAATAAAACATGGAAAAGCATATACAATGTTGTAGCTCGCGGCCTTGTTTAGCTCGTGGCCTTGCAGGCCGCGAACCCTGAGTCAAATAAAGCCATAGATAAAAATAAAGCTGTAAGAGTTGCATAGACTAACAGCATTAACATCCAGAAAAACTATAATATAGAATATAATTATAGAACTATACAATGTTACTGTGAAAGCTGGATAGTATAAAGAATGTTGTGTAAGTGCGACAAGGACGAGACTAGTGACACATTATTCTACTGTCTATACTCTCTGTCAAGTGTTAAATCTCATGACATACTCATTTTCTAATTTTTATGTATTCCACCGTTGGTTGCTCTTCTTGCGTGAATATGCTCTCCAGTGTCTAAGTGTAGCTTTTATCGACAACTGTTTTCTCTTTTTTGGATACCGATTGCTTGCCTACACGATGACTTATCTACTTGGACTTCTAACCCGGACACCGATTTTGCGTCTACTCATTGACCTATGCGCGCATTTGGATTTCGATTGCTTGCTTACACGACTTACCTGCTTTTATACACCCGTCGCTACGCGTGTAATATTGAAAATGTCTGATTCCGAAGAACCTCAGCCATCTACTAGTCGCGATTTTGACAGGTTCTTATTTTTTTGTTTAGATTGTATATTAAAGTATTACAAAAAGTAGTAATGTTTTATTATTGGTTTAATAATAAAATAATAAATAAAAATAGTTTATTCAGTATACATAAATTATAACCGGGAATGAGGTCTCCTTTTAAGTATAAAAACTTGTGT